CCAAGCCGTACATCGGTACATCCCCATTCATACCCCACAATTCCCTGCGTCACGCGGTGCAACCTGGGATTGCCGCAAGGAATTCTGTGATTTTCTGGGAAGGGCTATTGACAACTTTTAATGCGAAAGCATTAACTGTCTCATGGAGCGAGCTGACGTCATCAGTTTGAAGCGCGAAAACGGCTCCTAGTTTCCGCCGCGATCCCAAAGGGAGCGATTCGCCTTGGGGTGCTATGTTGCGCTTTTTGGACTCCCAGGAGACTAGGGAGAAGGAAGTGACGTCAACGACACAGCAAACACAGATTGGGTGTTGATTTCGTTTTCTTCTGTCAACATCCAATCTGCGTTTGCTGTGTCGTTGACGTCACTTCCCTCTCCCTAGTCTCCTGGGAGTGCAAAAAGCGCAACATAGCCCCCTTGGTTTCTATTGGCTGGCGCGCGTCGACGGGGCTCCCATTGACCGCTGCGCCATGGCCTCTGAGATCCCGAAGCGCGCGCGAGCGTGTACGTGATAGAACTCCGCCGCGAGGAACGAGCCGTGTGCAATGTTTGAACAAAAACCAAGCAAGAAGATGACGATGTTTATTCGGATGGCGTAATGTGCGATAACTGTACAAGAAAGACGAAGATTGAGTTTCTTCAGTGCGCAGCAGACGACAAAGGGAGCGGACGAGCAGACGACCTTGAGCTTTTTTCTTGAAGAGTGCCTTCTGATGGCGACTTACCACCTCCATATTGCTCTCCATGCCGACGGCGACATCTGTAGCCTCCACTGCACTCCGCGAAGTTTGTCATTCTTTGGCAGAATATAAGCGAAAGCCTGTGACATTCGGTGGAGACCGTTTGTATGCTGCCTGGGCGACCCCAGAAACCCCGGAGTTCTTGTTGTTTTTCTTGGACATCAAATCAGTTTCAGAAATTCTCAAGATCTTATAGAAAAGAAAAAAACAAACACAGAAACAACATCTGTAGTCTGTGACCCTTGACTTCTACACGGCTTCAATAGAGTACTTCAATAAATCCGTTGCCGCGCCTGTTGCATTCCGGGAACTTGTAGGCCAGGAATGGAGCGCGTATGGATTCTGCTGCCCACTGATTCCCACAATGCATATCATTACGCCGCGATAAAGCGCCTCGAGTTTTGGAATAAGTCTATTGCTCGTTCAAGAAGGCGTTATGAAAGGGAGAAATTTTACTCTTAGGAGGATTCCCAGAAATAGGAGACCCTAACACTATTCTAAAACTCCCCATTTGTGTCATATAATCGGCTCCAGGCTGCGAGTTAAGAAATAAGCGCTCCTCGTTTTCCTCGATCTTTTTTTCTTTTTGCAACTGATATCGCGTTGTGAAATCTTCCTTCAAGAATCTAACGCGTATTTCATTACGAATGTCAAGGAATAACTTCGAGTGGTATTTACTGAAAGTTAATAAATTGTGACATCGCTCCTTTCAAAGCTTTGCTTGTCTCAGGCCAGTTCCTCTCTCCCGCTTAGAAAACTTGACGGTATGAAACAGGGCTGAGCCCATGCAGCTCCTGTAAAGTGCTTGGCAGTACCCAAATGAATCGAGACCGACCGCGCTTATGGATACAAAAAATCCGCTGCACGTGCGGACTTGCGCTTGCCTAACTTTAAGGCCCAATCACACAAGAGCATTTCCTAGCATTTCATTACGTTATGTTTAAGTCACCGAAGCCTCGATGCCTCAAATGCCGCCTGAAAGTCTACTCCTTGAAGTGCTTCCCACGCTTTATTCGCAGCACAGATGTCTCGGTGACTCTCGATGTAAGTGGACGTAAGCTGGCGTAAGCTTTCATAACACAACACAATGTAAAAAAGAAAAAAAAAAGAAAAGAAATGGTGTTGTGGGAATTGGTTTTTACCACGATGTAAGATACACTCTTAAGTGTATCTTACGTAAGCTGGCGCGAGGAATCAGATAGTGTTCGTTCGACGGGCATCCGAAAGGCTGCATTATTCCGTAGAGTGCCTTCATACACACGCACTTTTGCTTGAGTGGTGACATCTCCAACCATTTTTCCGCCCAATCGTTCATTTATGCGTCTTGAAGCCCACGCAATCTGGTGTCACTCAGCTCGAGCGTGTAGCTTTGGCTAATGCATAGTCGCCATTTTACCGCCCAAGTCACGCACCGAGTGCGCGAGAGCGTCACGCGCTGGCACATTCAGGGCAACAATGGATGTCTTCACCCTGAGACAGACAGACATGTAGGCACCCTATTATTCCGCGGCTGACAGTGTCGCCGGCGGCCAAACGGCGAAACTGTGTGAGAGCGAAAAAATTATCTCGTTGCCATGACACCCCGGTACACCGTGGTCTTTCTGCACGTGCGACAACCTCGCTGGAGCTCTGCGCGTGTGGTACATGAGGCGGCACGAGCCGTCTTGTACGTGCCCACGGGTAGACGAGTCACCTGCCGGCGCCGCTTGAAACCATAGTGAGAGAGAGTGAAGAGCGAACTTTATCGGGCACGTCGCGAGGAGCGTGCTGTCCTCACCTGAAGAGTATTATCTTACATCGTGGTTTTTACCAAGCAAGCTCGAGATGCATCACACTGCAGTATTATCTCCAGGTCGGGCTTTGCAAGGCCTAGAAATTCCGACTTATGGGAAGCAAAACTTATGGGCTAAATCGATACGCCCGCTTGTTCGGACGTGGAGAGACATTACAACGGCGTGAGGTTTTGTCGGTAATATACTGTTTGATGCGGTTAGGGTTTTTCTTTGTACATGACATATGAAAGCCCAACTACCCAGAACAAATTTTTCGGCTCGAAATTTCTTCTCTTTGCGCCCGAAAACCGCCGATCAGGAATCGGCCGTTTTGAGTCGCGGTCACTCTCTTTTCCGTAATCATGTGCCGTTTTCTATGGTTTAGACACTACCACCAAATATAATCAAAGTCGTGGATCATCGAAAGCACACACTCTATATTAAAAAAAATTACCGATTTTTTTTTTTTTTTTTTGCGCTTTTAGGAATCCCCAAATATGTTGATTGAAGAAAAAAAAACGTTGCACAGCCACGTGAATTCCACCGACTCTTTCCTCCTCTAAAGTTCTTCCTCTCCAGTCCAGCTTCGGTTGGGTTTCCGAGCACTTGCGTTTTTGACTTTATTAAATATATACCTGATGCTTCAGTAAAATATTGATTGGGTAGTCTTCTGAGACCGTAATGAATCGCCTGGCAAAAAATAAACCAAGAAATATTGGGGCTGTCAGTGTTCCTTGAAAGATCGCGGGTTGGTGTATCTGCGTTAGATGTCGCCTCGTTTGATGGCAGTCTTACAACAAACACGCTGTCTAAGTACTTTCTCGTCCAGAATTGCTCTGACGAGACACGAAGTACGAAGCTGATCACGTGGAAGGCAATAAAAGACAATTGTTTCTTGTATAGGGCTGCGTTTCAAACTCGGGTGGGCATCTATGGCGGTTGCTCTCCGTCAGAGATGGCAGCAGTGTTGCAAATGCTGCGCGTGTGAGGCAATGAAATAGGACGTTTGATTAAAACAAAACAACTGTATTGAGCATCGTTACAAAAAGGTCCGTTCGTTTTAGCAGTTCTGTCGGCGTCTCTCCCGGTCCCGTTCTCCCCGTTTCTTTCTCGGTCTTTTTCTCCCCCGATTCTCCGAATTCTTCTCCCTCGTTCTCCAGTCTCGACTCCTGGCCTGTCCCCCGCTTTCCTCCTCCCCTCTTGCCCTCTCCCCAGTCCCCATCCTCGTGCTCGGGCTACTGGGGATGTCGGCTCGGGCCTCACCCGGCACCTGCTTCGGAGGACGCGAGCGGGGGCGGAAATGGCGTTCTTCACAATACGCAACATCCTCCCCCCTCCCCCAGCGATGAGCAGAATTCGTTCACTCGGATAGTTCAATGGGGAAGAGGAGCTGGACGGGGCGCCGAAGTGTAGCCCTCCAGGCAGGCGCACCAAACACGAACGCACGTGGTTGTCCCGACCCCGCTGAACTTGTTCTATCCGCCCCATCCTCCACATGAGCCGTGGCGTTTTGTCTTCATGGACGAGGACGAGATCCCCGTCCCGCAGGTCGTTCGTGCGTGTCTCTGTTGCCCGGTGTGCTGAGCGGAGCTGGAGGAGGTACTCTTTTTGCCACCTCCCCCAGAACTGATTCAGTAGTCTTTGTCGGTGTCGCCACCGTCTGGTGACGTCCCCCCTTGTCGAAGCTGGCACGTTTTCCAGGCTGGTCGATGGGAGAGCCGTCAACCGCCCCCCCCCCCCCCCCCCCCCCCCGACAAAAAGTGCGCTGGCGTCAACGCCTCCTGCTCGTGTGGAGCGTCGTGAACGGGGGCCAGGGGTCGAGAATTTACGACGGCTTCAACTTCCTGTAGAATGGTCGTCATTTCTTCGAATCCAAACTTGTTCTTTCCGAGTATCACTCGTAGGCTCCGCTTCACTGTCTGTACCATCCTCTCCCAGAAGCCGCCCCACCACGCTGCTCTTTCGGCAATAAACCTCCACTTGATACGGTTTTGTGAGCAGTGGTCAGGGAAGTGTGGGTTCCTTAGCACGTCCCACATGCCGCACAGGTCCTTTGCTGCCCTCTTAAAGGTGAGGGCGTTGTTCGTGTACACGACGCTCGGTAGTCCCCGACGTGCAGTGAACCGCAGAAAGGCCATAATGAAGGCCTCAGTCGTCAGGTTGGAAACGAGTTCCAAGTGCACGGCTCGTGTAACGGCGCAGGTAAACAGAGCGATGTAGGCCTTTTGATCCGACGGGGAAGCCCTCACCAGTAGTGGTCCAGCAAAGTCAATTCCCACCACCTCGAAGGGGGCGGCCCGGTTGACGCGCTCTTCCGGCAGCGGAGCGGTCGGTGCGGAGGCTGGCCTCAGTCTTGCTCGCCGGCAGGCGTTGCAACGGTTCATTACTTTCCTGGCGAGTTGACGCACACGTGGTACCCAGTAGCGTTCACGTACTTCGTTTAAGGTATCTTGGACACCACCGTGCATCGTCCTTCGGTGCGCGTCGTTTACAATAAGTTCAGTGAGGGGGTGAGATGGCGGTAAAACAGCGGATGTCTGACTGTCACATCGGTCTGTGCATTCTGAAGCCTCCCACCGACCCTCACTCGTCCATCCGCATCCACAAAGGGCTTCAGTAACGCGGTTTCGCTGTTCGTGCTTCGGGTTCCACCCGCTGAGCCCATTTCCGCTCTGTATGCTTCTTGAGCCTTCACGATCCAGTAATTCTCGGCCTGCTCGAGCTCCTCTGCAGTAAGTGGACCTCCGGCCCGCTCTTGCCTGTTTCGAATATTCTTGATGAACCGAAACATCCAAGCGGTAACCCTGAGGGGTCTCATTATGCGACTGTAACTGCTCAGATTTAGGAGCTCCGGCCGCTTCTCCTCCGCTGTGTGCAGCACGTGGTGTTCTTTCTTTCGTTCCTCTTGCACCTCTGGGATGCTGTCGTAGAATGCCTGACCCTTAGGCCAGTTGCAAGGTTCCGTTGAAAGCCACTCAGGCCCTTGCCACCACTGTTCGCTTTCGATCAATGTCTCGGCGCTAATTCCCCTCGTCAGCATGGCCGCTGGGTTCTGACTTCCAGGACAGTGGTTCCAGCTTGCGGGGTCGCTTGCGGACTGAATCTCATTCACCCTGTTTCCCACAAACGGCTTCCACTTTGAGGCTTGGCCTCTAATCCAGTGTAGTGCAATAGTCGAATCCGTCCAATAGAACGTCTTCATCTGGAGGTTCATTGTGTCGTTCAGATAGCGGGCAAGACGTGTCCCAATCACCGTTCCCATTAGTTCTAGACGAGGGAGTGTCAGTCGCTTGAGCGGCGCTACTCGTGACTTCGCGATCACGAGGCAAGTAGACGTGTCTCCGTCTTCGCCCTCCACTCGAAGGTAGGCGCACGACCCGTAGGCGAGTAAGCTTGCATCGCAAAACACGTGAAGTTGAACCGACCTGGCGCCTTCTGCTGGGCACCGCATGGTGCAGCGGCCGACGGCCAGAGCCTTCAAGAGTGGCAGTTCTATGCACCACCGCTGCCACAGCTCAGAAAGGTCGTCAGGCAGCTCCGCATCCCAGCCGATTTCACGTTCCCACAGCTGCTGGAATATGATCTTGACCCGAATCATGTACGGAGCGATAAGGCCCAGGGGGTCGAAAACTCGAGCTGAAGCCTGTAGCACAAAACGCTTGGTGTTTGCTGCAGTGCTGACGAAATGCAATACTCCTTCCATGGGAATCAGCAATTTGTCTTGGTTGTGCTGCCACACGAGTCCGAGAACCTTCCTTTGTTCTTGGGATGCTTGTGGTTCCTCGGCCTCATCAAATCCACACTGTAGTTCCACAGCATTGGGCGTCCACTTGCGGAGTCGCATTCCGGCTTCAGCCATGATTGCGTTGGCCTCATCGTGAATCTGTCTGGCTACACCAACGTCGGAAGCTCCGATTAGTAAGTCGTCCACGTAAAAGGCATTCCGCAAACGATCAGCTGTCTCCCTGTGTTGGTCCTTCACGTTATCCAGGTGGTGCATTAGAGTTGCGGTCAATAGAAAGGGGCTTGAGGTGGTCCCGAACGGCACTCTGGTCATTCTTCATTCTTCGATATTTGCTGCTGCTCCTGATGTTGGCTTCGTTTCGAACCACAAGAATCGGAGAGCATCTCGGTCCTCTGTGCGAACGCCTATCTGCAGGAACGCCTTCTTAATGTCAGCTGTGATGGCGACCTGAAATAGCCTGAATCGCACCAAGATTCCCACCAGGTCGGCGTTGAGCTTGGGGCCCTTTTCCAGATGTTCATTCAGTGGGCTGCATCCCGGCCTATGTGATGACGCATCGAACACGATCCGGAGTCTCGTGGTGCTGGAGCAGCTGCGTACTACTGCCTGGTGCGGCATGTAGTAAACTCGTTGAGTGTCAGCTTGAGGTGCCCGCTCGGGCACCTTTTCCGCATGCCCTGCCGTCATGTAGTTCCTGATGGATCGGTCGTACTCATCAAGAAGCTGCTCGTTGCGGGATAGTCGTTTGAGGAGCCCCTCCAGTCGTTTGTGAGCCATGACTCGATTGTCTTGGAGGTCTTGTCCAGTCTCCTTCCATGGCAATGCAACTTCATAACGTCCGTCTACCTTCGTGATTGTGCGTTCAAACTGGCCTTTTACAGCCTCCAGTTCCTCGCTGTCGGTTTTCGGCTCGTCCGTAATTCCGAGGCTATCGAGCTCCCAAAAGCGACGGAGTGTCGCCTCATTTTGGTCGTGCGCCCGCGTGCTGATCTTTAGGACGCAGACCATCGTGTTTGTACTACCCGACAGGGTGCCGTGCAAGGAAATTGGACCCTGGAAGGTCCAACCGAAAATTGTGTTGATGGCAACCATGCTCTCATTCTCTCTGAACCGACGAACCTCGCCTCGGGTGACCTTCCAAAGCTGGTCCGATCCAAGAAGAAAACTGATGCCACATCGAGGCTCCGTACCTTGAGTCAGTGTCATGTCCGCGATAAGTCCTCCGTCAGCCTCGATGCTCCTCACGAAGTCGTGGTCCACCGGCACTTGCAGGATGTCGTTGCAAATGAAAGGTACCTCGATAGCCTCGAGGACACACTCCTTTCCGTCATGCTGACTACGAAGGCGCACCTCAACCAGCCTGCGTCGTTGGGCGCGAGTCGATGTTTCCCCGAAGGTGTTTAACTCAAGGTTCGTCGTGCCGATCACTCGGAGATTTAGCTTTCTTGAGACGTCCGTGTGTATAAAAGTTCGCTGGCTTCCTCCGTCGATGACGCCCCGAAAGTGGCTGGTTGCACGATCTCCTACGGCGGAAGCTCGGAACGTCTGCAGAAGCACCCCCGAGTCCATCGTAACGTTGGAGTTAACGACGCTTGTGGTGTTGACATTGGTGCCAACGCTTTTCGGTGGGGTCCAGTTGGGGTCACACATCGAGCTTGCATGCCTTCCCCCACATGACGCAAACTTCAACTTCCGTCGGCAGTCTTTGGCGCGGTGTCCTCTGGTTGTGCATCGGAAGCACCTCATGTCTTCTGCCAACCGCCTTTTCTTCTGTTCGAGTACGAGGTCGCCAGAGCAGGACTCAGTTTGATGTTGTGCAGATCGGCAGAAAAAGCAGCCGGCTGCTTTTGCGCTCAGTACAGTTGCGGTTGGCAACGTCGGGTGTCCCCGCCGTTCGATGTAGCCTTCACGCGCTGGGGTCTGCCTCGGGTGGCGAGTCTCCGCGGCAATTCCGGCTCTCTCCCTGCCTTCCACCTCGCTTCGCAGGAACTCTAAGATCTCAGTCAGCTCACCATCGGCTGCTTCAGATGAAAGGGACTGGAGCTCTGTCCGCTCTGTCTCAGATGTCCGGCCGTAGTTGCTGGTTTGCTGATGGTATTCCAGCACTAGATCTCTTGGTAGAGCCCTGCGAAGGATGTCGGACATCATCGTAGAGTAGGTTGCCGATCCAACTCCCAGGCCCCTCAGTCCACGGATGTTTGCCTGGATGTGATCGTACATCCTGCGCAGTCCTCTCGTGTCGCTCGATGAGGCGACGGTTGGCAGTGCTCGCAACCTCGCCAGGTGATCCTGTTCGATCCGTCGTTTGTCGCCGAAACGCTGCGTCAGTATTTGGATGGCGTCGTCGTAGCAGGCTTCCGGCGATTGCAGCCGCCGCCGGTCCGGTGACGAGATTTCGCAGGTATTGGAACTTCTGGCATCTCGTGACGCTGTCGTTATCATGAATCGCGCCACTGAATTGCTCCCAGAAACTCTGCCATCCGCAGACGTCGCCATTGAAGGTTTCTAGCTTGAGTTTCGGGGGCTTCACTCCGATCCGGTGACCGGGGTTGGTACGAGTCTGTCCCACCTCCGTCGGGGCTGTTCCAGATGTTGTCGCAGGTGCGGTCGCAGATGTGGTCATCTGGGTGGTCTCGATCATTTGTTCCTTTTGTTTCAGCATGTCTGCCTTGCAGCCCAGCAGCGCAATTACTCGGATGGCCTCGTCGTCGTACTCGGTGACTGTAGTGTATTCCGCAACGAGGTCTTGTTCCGATACATGTTTTTCTATCTCCTGATTCAGTGCTTGGAGTGCGCTGTTGTTGACCTTCAGCCTCTCCAGCCAGGCCGTCAGCGTGGCCCGGTCTGCTGTTTCCATCCCCGCCGTCGCCTCGTTGATGATCTTCGTGTTTTGCGCACGTTTCACGCCACGCTTCGTCTTTATACGGTCCATCTTGTTCGTTCACCAACACACACACAACTTTTTCACAGCGTTCCAGGCGGTCGATAATGTTGAAAGTTCCGCTCACCTCTTTTGATGTTCTGCGTTCCCGGGTTTCGGCACCATAAGTTTCTGTTGCAAATGCTGCGCGTGTGGGGCAATGAAATAGGACGTTTGGCTAAAACAAAACAACTGTATTGAGCATCGTTACAAGAAAGGTCCGTTCGTTTTAGCAGTTCTGAAGGCGTCTGTCCCGGTCCCGTTCCCCCCGTTTCTTTCTCGGTCTTTTTCTCCCCCGATTCTCCGAATTCTTCTCCCTCGTTCTCCAGTCTCGACTCCTGGCCTGTCCCCCGCTTTCCTCCTCCCCTCTTGCCCTCTCCCCAGTCCCCATCGTCGTGCTCGGGCTACTGGGGATGTCGGCTCGGGCCTCACCCGGCACCTGCTTCGGAGGACGCGAGCGGGGGCGGAAATGGCGTTCTTCACAATACGCAACATGCAGTTTTCGTACGCAACTGAGACCGCCTTTCTTTTTAACGAATTCGTTTGTATGACGCTCTCCGGCGGAAGACTCCGCATTTCCGTCATGCCTGGAAATATTTCTTTTCCATTAAAATACGTTTCCCTAAAGCTTCGAAACTATGTCTTCTGTCTCGAAGGTATGGGTCTATATCCCGTTGCAGCATTGGAAAACGACCCAGGCTACAGTCTCAGCGAGCCAATCAGCGTGTCGAAGCGAGGTACGTGACGGCGTATTGTCGTAGTGCTCTTCTCCTGCTCAGAGCTGTCGCATGCACGGCTCCGTCAATCTGATTCACTCGAACGGGCCGTAACCTTCGCTCTTTGCGAAGTTGGGGTGAAGCGAAGTGTAGGTACGGGCGAATGCGAAAGTATCCAGGATTTCAGACCCGCCAACACGCGTCGAAACATTTCGTCACTCACAGGTCGAGGACGATGGGGAAGTAATTCAGTTGTCTCCACAAGGAGATTGCTATCTTCAATACCACTTTAACGTCACGTGACCTTCCAGCGTGCAGCCGCAGCCAAAGCACGGTGAAAGGCAACGAGTCGATGTAAAAGATTGCTGCACTTGAAAGAAAAGCCCTGTGCGTCTTTTTTATTCTGTAACTATAGAGCCCCAGGAATGGGCGAAATTTTCTCAAAAATGTATCGAACTACAAATACAAACCACTTCAACAAGAATATGTTTAATTACAAATGCAAACCCGTATTTAAAGACAAATTGCAGCCACTATGTGAAGGATTCATTTCAGATACTTTTTGCGATATATACACGAACTCATCTCTGTTACGTCACGGCGCGGTGGTGGCGCGTCGGACGCACTTCCGGTCTGGGGCTGTGGGCGGAAGTGCCCATGTGAGACGTGTATTCCTGCGTTGTTTTGAAAGGAACCAGACAAAAACCTGCCTTCTCGTCAAAACTCTGCGACTGGGGCTCCACCAAAAGAGTCGAGAAAGGTTTGAAGGGCAGTTTTCACGCGCTTCGTTCGTCCGAGGACGTGTATATGTGCCGTGAAAAGGAAAACCCAGACGGCCATCGGACCACGATTGCTTGGGTGGGAAGTACTTTGGGTTGAATTCACGATTACTTCTGGCCATCAGATTTATTTGTTTTGTTCCAACATGAACGCCGAAAGACCGTCAAGTTGTACGGACCACCTGCGGACTATACGTTCAGTGCGTCTTCAAGTTTAAACGGCCGCTTGATCGTTCGAACTGTCTTCTGCTCTTTCAAATGTTTCTGCTTGTCGTCTGCTCTTGTAGAGGACACCGGCCCGTAGACCAAACGTGGGCCCGGTACTTGCGATAAGAGGTAAGTGCAGGCCTCAAAAGACTTAAGTTTGAAGTTTGGTAAGCAGGCTCGACGCAAACAGTAGATACAAGGAGATGTTGATCATCGACCAGTGGCCATCACCGACTTGTTATGCCTGATTCACTTGGTTAGATTCTGCTTGCGATTTTCAGTATCGACGTCGACCATCTCAGCTACGGTTCACGCTTTTGCAGCCCGAGCGACGTCGTTACTGAAAATTGCGAGCGAAATTTCATCATGTGAATCAGACTTTAGAGTACATTCTTCGGCGTCCACGCGGAATGAATCGCCGCATGTCAGATTATTCACGCGAAGTTTTGCGGTGTAACAAGCCTCGTCGTTAGTAGGACGTAGAATCAACAA